TTAATCCTTTTTCTGTGGTCGTGTAAATCTCTTCGCCTCCTTGAACATGCGTTTAAACTCTTCATCCCCTGCGTCCTCACTTGACTCTGAATCTGACTCATTCGACTCACCATCACATTCGTATTCATCACTACTGTCTGCCGCCATGAAGGGATCATCCATGTCATAGTCATCTTCACTTGACTCATCTACATAGGTTTTTTTAGTGTTCCTTTTTGTTGGGCCTAGCAATGAATTTTGCAGTGTTAGTATTTTCTTTCAGTTTCACTGTTACGACACTATTACACAACTGTTATCAATCTTGCTAATAGAAGAAAAATCCTTGCTTGAGAACGTCTTAGGAAAGCGGATGAAGTAATAATACAAGTTTATGCGTTCAAAAATTGTATTAAAATGAGGTAAATACACAACAAAGGGTTGTTTAATAATAATAATTGTATAAATAGTGCCATAACAAAATACACAAATGATGCGAAACATTAAAATTGCGATTGCTACATAAATTGAAATTTCTATCTTAACTGCAATAGCTGGAGTAGTAGGCAGTCTAAACTGTGCTTGTAGGTATTTAGGTAATGGATTTTTTTCTCACACTTTTGTAGTCCGATGTTTCCCGGGAAAATTCGTGCAGTACTGCACAGCTAGATATGTTAAGCATGAATAATAATGAGACTTGTGTTTGTTCAAAACAAAAGTTTCATTACCGCACTTAATCCTACAGAAGTCGCTATATTTTTTGGGACACGAGGGTTATATGACCCTACAGGGTTAATTTGAAGAGCAGACTTCGGCAATGATGCGGTACTGAACTTCGCCCTCCATTTGAATGTTTCGGAATAAATCTCTTTCTTTTCTGAATAATAATTCTAATTTTATATATTAATTATTATTATTACTATAAAAAAATATTACAAAAAATATAGTAAGTAAACGCTTTTTATATTTTTGAAAGTTTATAATAATGTACATACCAAAAATAAATAAATTAACTCTAGTAACAGTTTAAAATAACATAAAAAGTAAGCTTATTTTCATTTACCAAGAGGCCCTTTGGATACATTCAACACTTACGGAGCGGAATGTTAGCACTGATTCTTCATAAGGGCATTGTCAGAACCGTCCACTGTAAAGAAGGCTACGACTCGCAGAGACATCTTTCGTGCAGTGCAGGTACTAGGTAGGTATTAAAAAGGCGCCAATTTTTAAACATTTTTAGTCAAAATTTGACAACTTTGGGTACATTGAGGTGACAGAAGATATAAATTCAGAGTTATGAAATCTGCACACGTTTTAATAATGGAGGTTCACAACTTTTCCGCACTATCGCAAAAAGGTATTACACGTTTGGTTTTTTTCAAGCCGCCCTAATGAGGATATCTATTATGGGAATCTCGGAAACCATAGAAGGTACGAGGATGGTCAAATTAAGAAAAATTTGCGCAATTAACAAGTAATTACCATGCTCTAAAGAAAACCAGAAAATTCCAATTATTTCCGAAGATATGCCAGGAAAACTGAAATTTGCCGACTTCATTTTTATTTTTTGGTGATGTTTCTTGAACAGACACAAAAAATAAAAACATTTTCTCATTGCCACTATTTGGCCTCTCCAAAACAGCATTGAGAGACCTTCAATACATTTCGTTTTGGAGAAGTCATCAACTACAGTTTTTCCGAGAGTTTTTCATATGGCCTGTAAACAAGTACATACTGTATTGAGTAGCATTTTTCATTACATCACACAAAAAAAAACGAATGGCGCACTCACGCACAACGCTCTGATTGTGCAAAAACACCTATCAGACAAATTTTCTGGAAAATTCAAAATATATCCAATAGCTATTGTCGCACGATTAAGGCCCGGTTGTATAATGTCAGTTTAAGCTTCAGTTTATAGTTAAACCAAACTGAAGTTTAACCAGACATTGTACAACCGGGTCTAAGGCACTGGGTGCAACCTCCTGTTGAAACCAAATGTTTCCAACTTATGTATTTTTGGTATAATAAAAAATGCTGCTCAATACAGTATGTACTTTTTTTAGGGATCATATGAAAAAATAAAGTTGATGATTTCTCTGAAATAAAACGTTGTATTGAAAATCTCTCAATGCTGTCTTGTAGAGCTCAAATAGTGGCAATGAGAAAGTGTTTATTTTTTTTTGTATCTGTTCAAATAACATCAGAAAAAAATAAAAATGAAATAGGCAAATTTCGGTTTTTCTGGCATATCTTCGGAAGTAATTGGAATTTTCTGGTTTTCCTTAAAGCATGATAATAACTGTTTAATGAGTAATGAATACTTAAATTTTGGACATCACTACATCAAAGTAGTCATGTGTATTATAAGACCCTACATAAATCAAATAGGACATGAAGTCTTCAGGTGAAAAATTAAAACAGTGATTGCTTTTCATTAAAACATCTTATAAATAGACAATTTAAAACAATTATCACAAGCAACATAAAAACATTTCACTTCATTGCTACGTATCCTCATGGTCACTTTCATAATCACGTTTTTTTGATGAATTTATGTGGCAATAGGCACAATTACAAGTATGAAATCTCTTACGTGCTCCTGCAGGGTTCTTTACACCTGTCATGCCCCTAGGATGTTTGTACGCTTTACGATGGTCTTTGTTTTTTCTATAGCAATCAGAGCCAAAACTACATGTCGGTCGCTGATCGTTAGGATCCGACTCATAATCAGAGTCACCAGGATGGCTGAATTCATTAAAATGTGCCGCACTTTTCCTGAAATATAAAAATTGATCAAACTGTTGCTGGAGGAATGGGTTACCTGTAGCATTGTTTTCCATATACGCAATAATCTCTCCAGGGCCTTTTATTCGAGCTGGTGCTGGTAGTTGCCACGGGCATTGTTGTATTTTGAGCACTATCTGCTACTGTCTCAGAGCCTTTGTCCGACTCATTCGGCTGTTTTGTGTCTATGTTATCAGACTGTTCTTCGGTATTCAATTCAGAAATTTCTTGTGCATCTATTCGACTGGGTGATGGTTCATCAACAGTTGATTGAGGTAATTCACTTGCATTTAAAGTTCTCATCTTTTTATTCTCACTATTTGGCTCATCCTGATGGGGACGTTTTAAGGAGTCATCTTTGCCATTGTATTCATAAGGTGTATGGGTCTCTGTTCAAAGCATCAATGAAACAGATGAAGTAATGAGACAAATACCAACCTTCAATATTATTACTTTCAGGCTCGCCTTCAGGTACCATAGCATTAGTAGCAGGGAGTTCATTATTGTTGTTCACGTTTATTTTCAGTTTGTACCAAAATTGGTCTGCTAGAAGTGCAAATTTATCACCATCCGTAATATTAACAGGAGAATCCCTGGGCAAGATTGTTACTGTTGGACTGTTCGTGTAAATATAAAAGCATGGGTTTTGGTGAGTCTAAAAATTATGATTAGTGGCCATCAGTGGTGAAGCTAAATGTGCAAATTACAGATGTTATTGATGCTTTCTCATTGGTTATTGTTATAAGGCCATGGTTCCTTGAAACTCTTTTATCATCGCACTATGAAAAAAGTAATTAGATTATGAGCAGAAATTGAAATGAAAGAACCTCGAGCAGAGTCCCTCGGCCAAAAATGTGTTCTCCAACATTTAAGGTACATATCGCACTGTCTTCACAGTCCAGTTTATATATTTCAAGAGATATCATCTTTTATTACTGTATCGGTATTAATACTTGAAGAGAAATTAAAATGAGTCATTAAAAAATCAGTGAACACACAAAAACAACAACACACAACACGATGGCGCGAAATTACACTGCCATACAGGGTGCTTAAAAATCACGATTCACCAAACAGGATTTTTGGGATAGCTTTGTCCATGTAATGTAGGGTGCAGCGTCGTATGTAGAGGTGTTGAGTGTACCTTCCGCGGAACACTGAATTAAGTGAATTTGGCTCCAGTGTAATTGCTAAACACAAAGTATAAAAGGGTTCGTCACTGTTCGTGTAACAGTGTAAGGATAATCAATATCTCCCATCTTTTCAGAACAAATTGGTTGAAAAACTCCTACGATCGAGATATCTCCCTCCAAAATCAAATCTTATTCAT